CCGCCACCTTAGGTGTATGTGGCTGGCGCCTTAGCCGCTTGAGCCACAGGTGCCGAGCCGACCATGTTCTTTCTAATCCTAAATCGCTATTGAAGTCTTAACTCGCTTTATTAAGAAATGCACTTTTTCTCTTTTTTGGAATTTGTAGAAGAAGATGCTTTTGTTTCTGTAATTATGCATAAGGAAAGCACATCACATTTAATGGGGTTGTTTCTTAGCCCAAGGCCACTGGGTTTGGGGCACTCCTAGCATATGGCTGACCTGCCCTGGCCTTCTGTTGTAGTTGTGACCACAGTATTTTTCCAGCTCAAAACAGCTAGAGGGATAATTGGGGTGGGAAGGGGTGGGACTAGCCAAAGTGGTATCCAGGCTTCAGTCAGAATAAAGCTCACTATGGCTTTATTTGGGGGTTGTGTCAAATTATCTATTACTACCTTTGTAATACCTCCCCAGTAACCTCTAGAACTTGTAAGGCAGCATGCCCTCCTAATGCAGCAAACTTCTGAAGAGTAGAGCATGCGTCACAAATGACATGCCCTAAATGGCTGGCTTCTAAAACATGCTAATTTTTGAGGGGTAAATCGCAGACTTATTTTCTGCTAAGAATAACCTGTTCTTTCCTTAAGAATTAGCATCGTCACATGTGGCATGAGACACAGCTTTTTCCTTGTCCTTAGCCAGTACTATTTACGGTTAAGTCTTTCTAGAACCGGAACTGTTCTGAATAGATCTGACACTATCCAGATGCTTGTTCTGGAAACCGAGGCCTTTCTGTGTTTTCTCTGTCTCTGGCTTAGTTTTGTGAAAAGCTGGCTCTTCTCTTCAGGCACAGTTTAGGATGAAAGTACAATAGTTTTCAGAATTAAGCGCAGTCCGGCACAGCAAGACAGATAAAGGGCTCTGCAAAAAGAAAACCTGGGAGCGTATATATGGTGGGGAAGCAGAGAAAAGGGGACAACTGTGTGTGTATTCCTGTGGTGGTGGTGGCGGCAAGCGTATTTGCTAAAAGGACAGCATAAAAACTTAATACCCTCTGAGCTGGGCAAAGCAACACGTGTCATTCTCGGCCCGGTGCGCGGGGCAGCCACGCACCCCCGGGGGCTTTGCCCGCAGTCGGGAGGCCACACAGCAGCCAACGCTGGCTCTGGGTGCGTGCGGGCGGGTGGAGTGCGAGGGGGTCGGCCGGCGGCCCCCGCGGGGAGGGAACGGTTCTTACAGTCACTGCTCAGCGCGAAGGGCGCGCGGCGGCGGCCGAGGGAGCGGTCTTCGGCGGGCGCCTCGGGAGGCCTCTTACCGGCGGGCAGCGGGAAGGAGGACGCGGTGTGGAGCAGCACCAGGCAGACAGCCACGACATCCCATAACTTCATCTTAGAGTCCCGTCCGGCGGCGGCACCTGCGCGGGCGGGCGGGAGAGAACCGCACAATACACCTTAGGCCTGGGCGCGAGGGCCGCGGCGCTGCCTCGGCTGCTGCATCCTCGCGGGTCCCCGCGTCCCCTCCAAACTCGACAACGCCCTCCTTCCCAGCCAGCGTTTCCTCCGGCACCCCCGCGCTCCTGCCAGGTTCTCCACTCTCTTCCCCTCAACCCCGGTGCGCCCCAGGAACTGCTTGCACGCCCGTTTCAGAAGCCAGCTGCCCTCCACCACCTGGTCCAAGCGGTCAGAATTTCGAGCAGGGCTGATGTCGCCTCTGGTAAACTCTCCAACACCACGGCACCAAAGTTCCTATCTAGTCCCCACTATTGGTGAGCAACATTCCCTGGGGGTGGGGGTGGGGGCAATCGGGCAGCCCTCACCCTGCGTCCTCTGCCCAGAAGCTCCCTCCCTTAGGCCCCAGGAACCAGCCCCCCCACTCAAGTAGCGGCGGGTCCTTCTATTTGGGAAGAAATCAAGGGCATTCCTCTGCCTGGGCCCCAGGGTGCTTTCAGCTAGACTGGGGGAGGGGGGGGAGCAGGCTCGGCGGCACTACTCACCCCTCTCGCCGCCCACATTTCATTCTTCCCGCCTAAATAGGTATTTTGTTGCTAGAGCAAGAAGTTAGCAGGGACTTGGAGACATTGGGCCTGTGTGGAAATATCTGGATTATTTAAACCTCCTGAAGCTTTAACTCTGCTTAAAATACTTCTACTCCCTCTTAAGGTTATAAACAGTAAATAACGCATGAAAAGGGCTGGCAGAGCCATTAAGTAAGCTCTCAATAAATGCTTTACCTTTGCTGTTAGGCAAAGATTGCATCTGTCTGGAAAACTTTAATCCTCTGTTATATACCCTAAAACCCTCTTGATTTTGCAGTTTGGTGAGATTCTTCTGACCCTAGTCCATTTCCCTACCAGAGGAGTCGCCTGTGTCACACATGGAGGACTGTACCCCGTCCAGGACGCTTAGGAGGCAGTCAGGAACTGTAAGTCCTAGACATGATGGGTAGTGCGGCTCAGCTCTTCTCAGCGAGAGGGGGTGTGTGTGATGCTCAGTTTGGCTTCTCAGAAAGGAGAGCCACGTTATGGGGGGGGGCGTGGGCAAGAGAAAGGCAGTGTAAATTGGGGGGCAAGCACCAATCAATGAGGTGATGGGGAGGGAGCCAGGCACTTGGGGTGCCCTGTTACCCAGTGCCTTCCTAATCCCAGTGTTCCAGACTCCAGGGGACCAGTAGCTGGAGAGGAATCTCAAGGGGAAACTATGGGATTCATGCAGTTGATTATCTCCACTCCTCCCCCAAAGAAACCCGGGTCTTAGGAAACCCCTACTGAAGTTTATCCATGGGGCAGGGAAAGTCCTTTTCCAGGTAAATGCAAGAATCTCAGCACCTGGCTTTCCTCTTCTTTAGTTTCTGGGTCCCCCCCAGTCCCTGCCAGGGTCCTCCTCTTCATAACTACCCAGAACCCCGGCCCAGGTCCAGGGCAGGCCACCCGGGGAAGCATTTAATTCGCCAGCCACCTCCCACGGCCGCGGAGACAATGCATTTTCCATCCCTTGGACGTGTTTGTTCACTATGCAGCTGTTGGGCTCGGGACGGTGTAGGTCTGAGCGACCTGCAGCTTCGAGGGCCTCTGGTCGCGCAGGCCAGTTTGCAAGCCCAGGAAAGAGCCACGCCGACCCAGAAAAACGGCACCAGGCTGTGCAAAATGACCAGAGAGGCGTTTTGGCAGCCGGAACTGCGAAAGCGCGAGGCCTCCCGCGCCCTTGGTGCCAGGTCCCGGGTGCGTGCGAAATGGCTGGCGGTTCCCAGGGGCAGGGAGACGCGGGCTTAGAGCCCCATTCCAAATCGCGGTGCTCACCAGCAGGAAGCAGCAGAAGCACCAGATTTCCCTTGCGTCTTAGGAGGGTTTTCCCTTTTTTTCCTGCTTGGCCAACGGAGGACTTTTTAAATTGGACTTGGAGATCCTCAGTTAGATGTGTGGCGAAGCTGGCAAAAGAGGAAACAGTGGAAAACTCCCCGCCTCGACAGAGGAGGCTCCCGACTCCCGTTCTCTCCCTCTGCCAGGTGCCACAAGCACCCTGATGGAGGTCCCCCCTCCTACCCTATGCGACGAGGAGGGCGCATTCTTCCCTCTAAGTGCAGCCAGGGCCGGCTCTAGACACAGCGACTCTTTAGTTCCCGGTATTTGCCCGGCGGGGGAAGGCGGGTGGTAGTTTTGGGGACTCGGCACGCACCGCGGTCTACAAGGACGTTTTTCTCCGAGTCCATTTAGGCCCCACCCCGCGGTTTACCACTCTGTCTATCTCTTTATCACTTTCTCCAAATATATCTATTTACTTCTGCCCGACTAGCTTCCCCTGCAACCATGGGCCTTGGCTAGTCCTGAGAACTGTTTAACTCGCTGCCACGTGCAGAAACTAAGCTCTCCTCCCGAAGTCGGCTCCGTCAGGTGACCTCGCACCTTTTGTCGTGCCTGGCAGGCTGGTCCCTCTCTGGTTTCAGGACTGACGCCCTTTGGGAGGGCAAAAGCGGCTCGCCATAGGCGTCAGCAGCTGGCGGGTCCCAGGCCCGGGGCGGAAAGGACACCAGGGAAGCCGGAGAACTGTCCGCAGAAGCCACATCTCGCCGAGGGGCGCTTCCGAGTTCCCGGCACCAGGGGGCACCAGAAACCTTTCCAGTCCTGCAGCGCCCACGCGGCCCGGAGGCTGTGTTGTCATTTTAAGTATAAACCCGGAGAAAAACCACTCCCTCTTACAATCCTTCCTAAATCCGAATTAGCCTGGGAACCTGTGGATGTTCCTGCCAGCATCCTTGCCTTTTAAGCTCTTACCCCTCCATTCTTTCTCTCTAGCTTTCCTCTTCCCACTTCACCTGAGCTGGTTTCTTGGCAACCTGCTTTTTAGACCCCCCTCTCCCCTTCTCCGCCTCGCCTTGACAGCTTCGCAGCCAGCGAGCGCTCCCGCCGTCAGTGCCCCCGCACCTTCTTGTGCTTGGCAGGCTGGGAGGTTTGTTTGGGCTTTGCCTTCAAGATCCAGGTCTCAGGAAGAGAAAAAGGAGGCAGTGGGGCGGGGAGAGTGGCTTGCTATAAATTTGGAGGTTTTCTTTTGGGGTAAGGACAGAAACTGCTGGGATAGCTATTGCTTTGCTTAACATCCCTTGACTCAGGGAGAACGTATTCTCCCCCTAACCTCCCATAATCCAGAGCCCAAGATGAGGCAAGGAAAAAGAATGCTGGAAGCTTCTTGAAAGCAAGCTGGGGAGTAGGTCTGTTAGAGGGTCAACAGCCGGGTTACAGCACCTGAATCTCTTTCAGGAGTAGGCTAGGGACAAGACGGGCTTCCTGGACATCCGATACTTGCCATTTGTTAAAAAGGCGACACCCCCCTCCAAAGCGAAGGCGCAGCGCAAACAGTGAGTGTTTGGTCTCTCACTTTGAGGGCTTTGCGGGAAATACTGCGTGCATAAGATTGGAAGCAGCATCTCTTCCTTGAAATACTTAAGTGAATATTCAAAATACCGGAGCAGAGTAAAGCATGCTGTAACACACGCGCGGCAGAGGCCGGATGAGCTGCATTAGTCCTGGCCAATGTCCCCCGGGGCGCGCACAAGGGCTCTGCAGGAGGATTCTGTCACAGCCAGAACTAATGCGGCGCCAAGAGACTTGGGGGAGATCCGCGAAAGTCCATTCTCAGCCCGGATCAGAGTTCCTTTTCACTGGTTGGAGCTGGAAACCAAACCACCCCTGAATTAGCCTCGAGATAGTATAAGGTGGTGGTAATTCTGGCGGTGGAGTGTTAAGGGAGGAGGCACAGAGTACTGAAGAAAAGAGGTCATTACAATAATCATCTCATGGTTGAGTGGAGACCTTAAGAAGTCCCAAGAGTCTGTGAGAGACAGAGACGTGGGCCCAGGGCTGTCAAAGGAGCTCCTCTCTTCACCTCGACCAGGATGGTTAGTTGGGACTTAAAGCACTAGGGAAGTGCAAGCAATCGGTTCCGAAAAGGGCGAGGAATGTAGCTTTGCAGGACCGCGCCGGGAGAGCCCTCTATTTTTAGGTTCTCAGCACCTTTGCAGCAGTCCCTCCAGGGCCTGCACTTTCCCTCGGATCAGACCAAAACAAGCTCACAAGCTCTACAGTAAGTTAAACTCCTGGCAATGATAGTACCTCTGCTGCTACACATCCAGAGAGGAGAGGCGGTGGGCTGGACGGTGACCCAAGGCCCGCACCGTTCTGGGGTTTGTCAGGAGCACACTGCAGAGTCGGGGAAGGATTTGCCCCACTTGGGCATTCCAGGGCCCAGGGGCATCAGGGGCTTCACAGGTCTTTCACAGGCCCACATGGAAAAAGGCAACCTGCACCTCTGCAAGATCAGCCTCTCTCCTGTTCAACTTCTCTCTCTCCTCTGTCCTTCCGGAGCCTCGGCTCCCTCTCGTCTTTCCACTTTCTACTCTCGCCGCCTGTTCTGGGGTCCAGTCGCGCCCCTGTGTCTCCGGCTCCCCGCAACTAACTGCGCCCGCCCGCGACGCAGGCGCCACCCGCCCCCTCCATCCGGGCCCGCTCCCCTACTTACCTCGGATCGGGTCTCCGCAGACCCCCAGTTGGACATTAACTCCAGGTGCCCCAAGTCCCAACCAGGAGACCCATCTGGGCCGATGACTGGAGCGCGGAGCCCAGCCCAACAGGTCAGCGGCAAGAGTTCGCAATCCTGGGGTCGCGCGGGACAGCGAGAGTGGGCTGGAGGCGGCGACCCGGGCTCCCGCCGCCTCCGCCGCCGGGAGAAAGACGAGGGCTAGCGACAACTCCCCCGCCGGCCCCCTGTATCCCCAGAAGCTTTAGTCCGAGCAGCCGCAGCGGTCGTGGGTGGGGGGTGGCACGAGTGGTGGAGCCGCGCTCTCCGTCCGGGGTCCTCTGGCCCGGGGCGCTGCGTGAAGCTTAGCGGCGACTGCCGCGCTCTGTGCCTCCTCGGGGCACAGTGCCTGCGAGCACGAGACGGGCCTGTCTGATGCTGCCGCGGGAGCTGAGATCTTGCCTGGCGATCTGAACGAGACACCACGTCAACCGGCGCGGGGAGTCCCGTGAAGACATGAGGGCGCCAGGAGCGCAGGCTGGTCGTCGAGAGCCCCGGGCTGGGGGGCCGGGGTGGGGGAGGGGAGGCGCGGGGCCCCGGGAGGGGCGGGTCGGGAGGCGGTGGCAGGGCCGGGCGGCGGGGGAGGAGAGGAGAGCCCCAGAGGGCGCCGAGGCTGCGAGTGGGTGACGCCAGGCGTCCCTCCCGGGGTGCAGGGAGAGCCCCGAGCGCGTGGAGACGCCGCTGGGCTCGCGCCTTCTCCTCGCCGCGTAGATCCGCAGGAATGTGCGGAGCTCCACTCCGACCGCCCGAAGGAAGGGGGGCAATCCGCAGCTTCGCTCCTGCGCCCCGCGGTCGGAGGGAGGGCGTTCTGCCAGGGGAGGCTACACTGGGCTTTCCTCGCGCCTGTCGAAGGCTTTCCTTCCTCCTCGGGTGTCTCGCCCTCTCGCTTTTCTGCAGGGCAGAAGGCAGCAGCGGCGAGAAGAGGAGCTGCGGGTTGGAGTTCTAGCACCCAGAGGGAGAGATGAGGAGTGGCCCAGTGAGGGAAGCCGAGTGTTTGCCAGGGGACGCTGCGAGTTGGGATGAATTTATAGGGCTCTCACTCCGTGACGTGCCCTCCAGTGGCTCTTCTGATTCGCTTTCTGACCTAAACACACATTAGTTTAGTCCCCATGCTAAGGCCAACACGGTCTCCAAATATCTGCTGGCTGAAGTCAGAGGCTTTGCATATCATGTATTACATGGCAGGCAATGAAGAAGGCTTCTGAGGCTGGCCGGCTCCTCAGTCCTAGGCTCCATTTTCATGCTGTTGTAACATAATACCAGGCATGGGGTAGGCACATACATTCAAAATCTCAATTCCAGAGGCATAAGATCATTTTATCAGGGAGAGGTCAGGGGAGGTTGGGCTAAACCTGCTTTTATCGGGGTTTTCAAAAATGCGGGTGGGAAACCTAAGGCTAACACCCACTTGGGTGCTATCACCAGTGAGCAGGGACCCAGCCCTCCCCTTCCTCCTAGCTCGGTAAACGAGAGAAGGGAGACCTCCTCAACATTGTTTTGGTTGGTTAGCTCACCAACAGAAGCTGCTGGAGCCACCTTTTGTAGAGGACACCAGGAGGGCAAATCCTTACCCACCTCGTATATGGCTGTCACCATAAATATGAGTTTCATTCACATGGGATTTGAAATTACCTCTACCTTTAAAATAATATACTGTCTTTGCTAAGCAGAAACTTGCTCTCCAGAAGCCATTGGACCTAAATTCAGTGGGACCTTTTTTATTATTAGCTGAGGCCAAAGAAAGTGTAAACAGGCTCAGTTTACAATCCATGCACCTCTTATTTTATGAGTCATCCGGTTGTTGGGGAGTATGTGTTCTTTAAGTAGCTGAGACAGACAATAGACAGGAGAAATGCGTGTGGCAATGTGGGGGGAAGATCATGTATTATTAAACTTCTTTAAAGTCAGAGATCAGCTACTTTGGAGGTTTGTCAGTGAAGTTAGTGTGGGAGGAAGAGTATTCTTACTAACATTGCTGTGATTTAAGATTAAGTGAAGTGAAAATCAAGTCATCCAAACACACCTTAGCTGAAATTAGGATGCTCTCAGCAGTTCTGTGGAATGTGACATTTCCTTCTTTGATAGATTTATGGCAGAAGTGTAGATGGATTTGGAAATAGGAGGAGAGAATAGGCTTAATGTATTTATCCCAGGTTAGCATTGCGTTTGGAATTTGAAGACAGCCCTAATCAGTGTTCTTACCAGGAATGATTCCTTTATTTTCAGAAGGCTTTTCACTGGGATGGTCAGGCCCTCCAAACATCTGCAATTATTTAGCACTTGCAGTATTCCAGGCAAAGTGCTAGACCCTGGGAATTGTGCTGATTGGGCTTTTGGGGTTGCAAGAAGCAGATGCCACTGAGTTTGCCCTAAGTAATGGGAGTTGACTGTGGAAGGAAGGCTGACCGGAATCTCCACCACTCAGCCACGTGTCTCCGAAAAGCCTTCCGGAAAGGCCACCCAGCCAGGCCTCACGAAAACTGGATTCAAGTTCAGGAACTGGGAGGTCATTCAGGATATGGCTCTGTGACTGGGTCATCTCTCTGCCCCCTCGGCAGCGGGCATCTGCCTATCCCTACTAACAGGCTTAGCCACCAAGGTGATTCAGCTTCTCTCTTGCTGTTTTCCTCTGGGCGTCTTTTGGCTTCTGCGCCTGCTACCAACTGCTCAGCTTTCTGTTGATCTCACATTTAAACTCCTTTAGTGAAAGGATCTAATTGGCCCCACTGGGCACTCACCCCGTGTTAGAATTGGACTGAGCTTTTGTATCAGGCCTTCTTTCAGGTTCCTGGACACTGTGTAGATCAGAAGGCCTTGGTCAGGTGCCTATTCTTGGGCCAATTATTTGTGTCCTGGTTGTTGGTAGGTACAGAGCCTGGCCACCTTTGCTAAAGGAACGTCCTGGGGTTTCTCTCTCTCTGCCTTCCACAGTGGGTCTTCCCCTAGAAGGAGCTGGGTGTATGGCAGGTGCTTTTTGACAGCCCCCTCCTGGCCATCCTTCTCATAAGCTTACTATAAGGAGAGGAAGACATGCACGCAAATAATCACGGTAGAAGATGACACGGATGACACAGGCTCTAACAGATGTACATATGAGGCTGTCAGGTACCAGAGTCTGATTTTCACATGGCCAGTGAGACACTGGGGAGAGTACCAAAAAGTGCTCAGACCTAGGCCCCACCTCAGTCAATATTGAGGAATGGAGCCTAGGAGTTGGTATTTTAAAAATGTTCCCCAGGTTTCTTAGTTAGCTTTATTTTTTTCTAATGATTGCAATAATTTTCTGATTCTTTTGAAAGCAAAACAGAGAAACCATATTTTGATAGATTGTAGGAGTGAAACTCTTCCAAAACATTAAATTCCTTTTGAAATACTACAAATCACCTTAAAACAGTAATTTAAAGTTTAACTTAGAATTAAAGCAAATATTTCTGACTTTGAAAGAACATTTATTTGAGAAACAATGTTAATAGCTCTACTAATTTCCCATTTCACTGTTCTCATTATTTTCACTGGGATTTCTTGTGAGTAATTAAAATATGTCTAAGTGATTGGTGCTGGCTGTGCTAAGGATCTCACAGTCCTTGGGAAGAGAAAACATAAACATGAAATGATTAAAAAATAGTTCAAGGTGTCATGAGGCTTGGAATTCAAAGTAGACCTTGATTGGAGTAGGTAAGCCAAGAGGAGGAGGTGGAGAGGGGGCCATTCCAGGCTAGCCAAAAGGGGGAACCGGGTGGGGGGGGAGGGAGACTCAATGCAGTGTTCCCACATTCTTCCCTCACCTCTGTGGCCCTGTAGGGCTGCAGCCTGCAGAGGCAGTGGGGCGGGTGGGTCAGCCTTTGGCCATTCACAGAGACCTTGGCCAGTTCCCAGTGGGGCTTTACAGCTGCTTTGACTATAAGGGCCAGGACCCGGGTCCCTGGACTGCCTCATAACTTGGGTCATGACGACTGAAACAGAATCCATCACTTAAGCAGGGCAATTTCCTTTTCAAAGTCACTGCTTTATTGGACAGCAATTTGTTCCATGCTTGCTTGTGCTTTTAACAGCCATTTTCACCAATGATACTATTACTCATGAGGAAAAGATAAATTTGCCCTTAGATCACTTAAAGAAAAGAAAAAAGAAAAAGAAATAGGAAAAGGAAAAATGTACTGTATTAGCCTTTTTGCAAAGTAAGGAGAAAAATTCTTTGTAGTAAATTGTTTCTCATAAGAAATCAATCCTGACATTGGCAAAGTAGATTTATCAATGATTTCCAGCAGTTTTGTTTCTAAGGATCAGATTGTGTAATAGTCCATTAGTTTTGTTTTTGATTTCTGAGATTACTTTATGAGACTCCTCTTTTCCTGAAATAAAACTTCAGTCAGGTAAGAGCTTTACAGCAGACTTTGTTACTATGCAAACGATCTAATGGCTTATGTCTGGGGTTGGCAAACTTAAATCTGTAAAGAGATGACATTTGCTGTAAAGATAGTAAATATTTTAGGCTTTGCAGACTATAGTTTCCCTGTTGTAACCACTCAACTCTTTCCTTATATTACAAAGGCAGCCATGGATAATATTTAAATGAGTAAGCAAGGCTGTGTTCCAATAAAGCTTTATTCTCCAGAATGAAGGAAAGAAATGGAGTGGGAAGGGAGGGGAGGGGGGAGGCTTGATAGAGGGAGGGTAAACGGTGGGACCACACCTATGGAGCATATTGCAAGGGTATAAGTCAAATCTATCAAATATAGAACATAAATGTCTTAACACAATAATCAAGTAAATGAGGCGAAAGCTATATTAATTAGTTTGATGTAAGCACTCCAAATTGTATAAAAAAATCAACACATTGCACCTCATATATGTATAAATGTATTCGTGATCTATGTGTATATGACTTAATAAAAAAAACATAATAAATTTTATATACACTAAAAAAACCTTTATGGACACTGAAATTTGAATTTTATATAATATTTTATATGTTATGAAATGCTATTCTTTTGATTT